AGTTTTCCAGTCAAGAAAAGAGTGAGGAGAGTTCGGGTGGTCTCTTGGACAAATCACCCATTAGGAGAGTTCGGGTGATCTCTTGGACAAATCACCCACGCGATTGCCACAATAGGGTTTGTACGCAAGGGCAAGGGCAAGGGAAGATAGGAGTCTCTTCCGGTGGACCGACCCGTGACGAGATCCTACGCGCGGGCCCATAACATTTTGGGTATCAGAGCCTATCGTCATGGGGGAACAAGAGCTGTTGTCTTCCAAGGTCCACGAACTGGAACACAAACTTGCAGAGACCAGCATGGAGGTACGTGAGGTCAAGGATGATGTCTGGGAGCTTCGACGCTTGCTGGAGACATTCTTAGCCAATAGGGAAAGAAACTCAAAAGGAATCGCCACCAGCAACAGCCGCAGACCGGACTGGGCAGAAACGCCTGGCGAACATCAGACGGCCACCCTGACTGCCGCTGTTATCCCCAAATACAATCGGCTAGAATTTCCGTCCTACAACGGCGCTGGATACCCACTGGGATGGTTGCACCGCTGCGAACAGTTCTTCCGCAACCAGCGCACCGATGACAGGGACAAGGTCAGCCTGGTCGCGTTCCACTTGACCGAAGAAGTGCAGCTCTGGTTCTACCGAGTGGAGCAGGAGGAACCAGGTCTTAGTTGGGATCAGTTCAAGTCATACTGCCTTCTTCGGTTCGGACCCCCATTAACAAGCAACCCCTTGGGGGAACTCATTAACCTCAAGCAGACCGGGACCGTAGCAAAGTATCAGCGGCAGTTCCAGACCCTTCTCGCCAGGGCCTCTTCAGTACGCCTAGACCAGCAGGTGGATATGTTCACAGCTGGTCTAACCAAACCCCTGAGAGTTGATGTAGAGATGCAGAGCCCGCCTAACTTGGTCACGACAATGAATTTAGCCCGAGCCTTTGAGTGCAAACTGTAGATTAGCCGAGGGCCGTTCAGCATGGGATGCCCAGCAGCAGCTTGGACAAACCCGAAGCCTACTAGAGGAGGGTCTTCGCTGGCAGCCAACAGGGAACCACTCGGAATGGCTCCATATCCAACAGCCAGCCCCAAACGGAAGCCACAGACGAGTACCAATTCCAGATCAGCATCCAGTGTGGGGAGTGGCAGCGGTACACCCCCTATTAAGCACTTGTCCAGGGCTGAGATGGCAGAACGCAGGGCGAGGGGACAATGTTTTAATTGCGATGAACTCTACTTAGCAGGGCACAGGTGCAAGAGACTTTTCTGCCTCTTGGTGAAACAAGAGGAAGATGAGGATGAACCCTCTTCATTGGAACCCGATCCAGGAGGGCAAAGCCATCCAGGATTCCTTTGAGGGTGTTTTCGATACCCAATTCGAGCTTGAGGACAAGCTCGTAGTCCGGGAGGGGTGTGATGTTATGGACACACCACCCGGCAGCGCAGTCATAGGCAGCAGCACGCACAGCGAGCCGCCCAGCAGCGCGCCGCACGCACCGCCCAGCAGCACGCAGCACGCAGCACGCAA